GTTAGCCAGGATGGTCTCTATCTCCTGACCTCGTGATCCGCCCGTCTCGGCCTCCCAAAGTGCTGGGATTACAGGCTTGAGCCACTGCGCCCGGCCTAATTTTGTATTTTTAGAAGAGACTGGGTTTCACCATGTTGGCCAGGCTGCTCGCAAACTCCTGACCTCAAGTGATTCGCCTGCCATGGCCTCCCAGAGTGCTGGGATTACAGACGTGAGCCATCACGCCCGGCGGAGCCCCCAAGGCCTTTGCATGGCAGAGATGGGAGTTTGGTTATTATCGTGTTGATGAGGGAGGACTGTTGATAATTTCTCGGTAGCTGAAGGAGGTTATTTGTCAGTTTTCTTTGAGTCGTGACAGGCGGAAGCCCAATTCAAGCTGGGAAAGCACAACAGGGAATTTACTGGGCCATGTCATTGAAGAGTTCAGAGTCTTAAGGCATGGCTGCATCCAGTTGTCAGAGATGATGTCATCGTGAATGGGCTCTTTTTATTTTCTCCGAGTTGGCTTCATTCCCTCTCAGGGTCTCCTCCTGAGATAGCAGAGACTTGCAGCTCCAGGCTTACAGCCCAGCAGCCTATCCTCCCCGGTGAAGAGAGTTTGCCAATTTCCCCTGAGTTGTGCCGCAGCGGTCTTTGGGGGCTGGTTCTCATTGGCCACACCAGGTCACGTACCTGACCAGTCACTGTGTCTCTGATTGGCCAGGCTGGGGTCGCATTTGGGGTTGGGGTCCACTCCATTCAAACCTTAATGGATTGTGAGATGGGGTATGGTGGTCCCTCAAAGGAAAAGGAAGAGGTGCCAGGAGACAAGACAGGATTTCTAATTACCTTCTCCCACATTTTGTGTTACAGAAGGGGCAGAATGGCGCTGGGAAGTCCACCCCCACGCATTTGGGCTCAGCTTTGGACATGGAGACCTGACAGCTGTTGTCCTTTGGGGACCCTTTGCTCCACTGGGGCCTCAACAGAACTAAAGAAGAAAACCGACCCTTTCCCCAACTACATGTACCAGCGGAAGGAAGGAAGGCCAATGTAGGAACCCAAAATGCTTATTTCTTCTCTTACTTCCCTCTCACAGAAAAGTCTTACGAGAGGGGAAATTCCACCAACATCCAGACCAAAAAGAAAAAAAGCCCAAAACGAAAAAAAAAAACAAACCCAAAAAAACCCCCAACCAAATGTCTTTGAAATATTCAGAGCCAAACAGATTCTGAGAGATCACCCAGTTCAATAACCTCTTTCCTTATTATTATTCATCTGTTTTTGAGGGGAAGTAGAGTTTTGATTATTAAACTTTATTTACGTAAGTGATTCCAAATGCATTTTCTTGTAAAAAACAAACACTGAATAACACGGTGAAACCCCGTCTCTACTAAAAAATACAAAAACTAGCCGGGCGCCGTTGTGGGCACCTGTAGTCCCAGCTACTAAGGAGGCTGCGGCAGGAGAATGGCGTAAACCCGGAAGGCGGAGCTTGCAGTGAGCTGAGATGCGGCCACTGCACTCCAGCCTGGGCGACAGAGCGAGACTCCGTCTCAAACAAACAAACAAACAAACATGATTTGCCTAATCTGTTAGCAAATATGTTATAGGGCTGCTGTATGCCTGGCCTTAGCCTCACAGCCATGAGCCAGACTGACTCACCAAGATCCTTGCCACCATAGGGCTGACCTCTTGGTCATGAGACACAGCAAATAAGGGAATCAATAAGTAAAGTCATCTCGCCAGGTACAGTGGCTCACACCTGTAATCTCAGCACTTGGGGAGGCTGAAGTGGGAGGATCACTTGAGCCCAAGAGTTCGAGACCAGCCTGGGCAACATAGCAAGATGCAATCTGTAATTTTTTTTTTTTCTTTTGAGACTTAAGTCTCACTCTGTCACCCAGGCTGGAGTGCAAGGGCGCTCTCTCGGCTCACTGCAATCTCCGACTCCCGGGTTCA